CCCCCCCCCCCGGCATGGGAGCCGGGTTCCAGGGGGGAGTGCCCCACACTCAGGGCCTCCAGGAGGGAAGCAGCAGCGGCCAGAGCCAAGGTCTCCTGAGGGGGGCCTGGACCTGCCCCGGGCACCTCTGCAGCGGCTGCTGCTGCATCAGACTCGGAGCCAGCCCCGGTCCCAGGGGACGGGAGGGACCACCCTCCTGCTGGGGGAGGAACGGGCTTCTCGGGGCCAGACGATCCCTTTCTCATTAGCCAGAGAGTAGGAACCAGGACCCCTTTGGGACAAAGCCCTTGGCTTCCCAACGTGTTCGCGATTCCAGGCTCCTCCGGCAGCCCTGCACCACCTCTTCCTCGTTCCAGACACAAAGTAGACGTGGCATGATGCTGACGGACAGGTAGACGTGGCACGATGCCATCCGCTCTGTTCTCTACGTTCTGTGCCCACTCACACAGCCACCATCAACTGCACAGCCTTCCCTCTCAGGATTCTTTCCACCGGAGGCGTTAACACTCACTGGCCATCTCTTCCAGAATCAATCATTTACCTTGGTGGCTACACAAGTATCCCTTTTTAAAAATACGTATATTTTTATTGATTTCAGAGAGAAAGGAAGAGGGAGAGAGAGACAAAAACATCAATGATGAGAGAGAATCATGGATCAGCTGCCCCCTGCTGGGGATCGAGCCCACAACCCAGGCATGTGCCCTTGACCAGAATTGAACCCGGGACCCTTCAGTCCACAGGCCGATGCTCCATCCACTGAGCCACACCAGCTGGGGCCAAGTACCCCTTTGTAAAAGCTCCTACTGCCTGCACCATTGGTATGAGGAAGACCCTTCCCCTCCCCCCTCCCCCCACCTTCTGAGCAAACTCAGTCCTCCCAGAGAGGAAGGCACACGAACTACAACCTCGGGCCTGCTCTTTTCTGAGAAGTGTTTTGAAAAGGAGAAGGAAACAAGCCATTTCTAAACTGGTTTCTAAATATTCCACGAGCCTCTACGTGGTAATAATAGCCACGCACTTACTAGCAATGTGTGCTCCGTGCCACGCCCTGTGCCAAGCACTGCAGCTTGCATTAACTCACCGAATCCTTACAGTTTTTCCTAAAGGTTGTATTAGCCACGTTTGTCAGTTAAAGAAACTAAAACACGATGAAGGCGAAGGGCCAGTTCGGCTGTACACAGAGGGCCCAGACAAAGTGGGAAAAGGTGAGTTTTCGTGTAATAGGGTGAGGAGGAAGGTAGATGGTTCATTAACAGCATTTTCTCCGTAGAATGGAAAGGTCTTCTTCTGTCTGAATATTCCGAGCCTTCTTTGCGGTGTGCGGGGCACTGAGTTTTGTCGGAACTGCGGTAACAGGACACGGTTTCCACCGTGGGGTGCTGGAGTGCTTAGGGACCGGCCATCACGGGGCAGAATCAGGGATGCGCGTCGCTAACCACTATGCCAGGCACGCGGGCGTGTGCCGTTTCTTATAGATCAGGGATGTGGCGGTGCCCTGCGGCAGGGGACCACATCGAGTTGGGGACATTAGCAAAGCATCCTGGGGGAGGAGGGCCTGGAAGGGGGGTCGGGGGGGCTTTCACAAGGAGGGGAACAGAGGAGGGCAGACGCTCAGCCGGGGAAGCACGGGGCAGGTGTGGGGTGCAGCTGGATCTCGGGGCCGAGTGGAACATTCTAGAAAGGGAAGGTGGAATTGGACGGGGCTGGGTGGGGGGGGCATTTTCCTTCCTCTTTCTCATGGGGAGCAAGGAGGCAGCGAGTGAAATCACCAGTGACGGGCGGGGCGCAGCCTGGTGGTGTGGTGGGTGGTGAGGTGGCTGCTTCTCCATGTCATCCATCGTGACCAACTGGGCTGAGCGCTGACAGCCCGAAGATGCATGAGAAAGTGAGACATCACCCTGGTGTAGGTGACAAGCTCAGGTGCGTGGGAGGGCCAGGTGAGTCCCGTCAGTTAGGGGCGAGGCAAGCAGGAACAGGTATGCCCCGTCCAAGGGCAGCCCCCCTCAACGCCACGGGCTCTCTCACAAGGGAACAGCTCCTGCCACTTACCTTCTTGTTTTTCTAGAAAAGCTGGAAATTCTGTTTCTGTGAAATCTCTAGAAATGCCGACGTTGGAACCAATTCATCTTTTCAGATGTGCAGGCCAAGGAAGACCGGCAGAGTTTGTAACTGAAAGTTATGAAATAATAAAACCTTTTTAGACGTTCTAGAAAAATCCCATGTGGGTGGAGTCATATGTGATGGCACGAGAATTAAATTGTTTGAGGACATAAAGTTTATAAAAAATGAAAATTTGAGGCAAACTTTTAGGCCTAATGCCATTTGACTGTGGAGAGGAAAATCCTGGCATATGCCTGACAATAGTGATGACAAGCTACCCTTTGGGGGAGCGGGGGGCAGGGTAAGAGGTCAACCAAAGGGCTGTATGCATGCATATGAGCATGACCAATGGACACAGACAGTAGTGGGGTGAGGGCATGTGCTGAGGGGGAGGGAGAGCGTCTGGGGGGAGGTCAATGGGGGGAAAGGGAGACTCATGTAACACTTTCAACAATAGGAATTTAAATTAAAACAAAAAAGAAAGGAAGAAAACCCACCCACATTGAATGCTGACCATGTGGCAGGCTCTGTGCGGAGGCCTTAACAGATGTTCTTTCCTCACAGACACCCCACAAAGCTGGCATTCGTTATTATCCCAATTTTATTTATTTTTTAAAGGTTTTTAAATTTATTTTTTTAAATGTATTTTTATTGATTTCAGAGAGGAAGGGAGAGGGAGAGAGAGAGAGAGAGAGAGAAACATCCATGATGAGAGGGAATCATTGATTGGCTGCCTCCTGCACGCTCCACACTGGGGATGGAGCCCACAACCCAGGCCTGGACCTGACCGGGAATTAAACTGTGACCTCCTGGTTTATAGGTGGACACTCAACCACTGAGCCATACCAGCCAGGCCTATTATCCCGATTTTATAGATGGGAACACTGGTAAGTCAAAATAATTTCCAAAGTCCTCAAGAAACCTGGATCAACACACATACACACACACACACACACACACACACACACACACACACACACCTCTGCTCAACTCTCTGCTCCCCCACACCATGCAA